TATGGGCGTAGAACAGTAAACCAGTCATTCCAGTCCACATGAATAGGAGACGTACCTTTAAGTGTCTTCAGTTTCTTTCATCAACATGTTGCAATTTTCATTATGTCAGCCTTTCACTTCCGTAGTTAAGTGTGTTCCTTGGTAGTGTGTCCATCTGTGTTTCTTGTGAATACTTTTATGATTTCTTTCTTGGCAAAATCATTGGTGTTTATAGAAAACTATACATGAGTTTTATAAGTTTTTGTTTTCTTCTGTTCTTTGTTTTCCTATTGTTCCTTATAATCTAACTGATGTTGCTGTGGATTAGAAACAACTTTCCATATTTATTATTTAGTCACTGGATTGACCTAGAACCAGGAGTGTGCTAGAACTGCTTCTGTTCTGATTGCTTTCAGTTCTAATGGTCTGCTTTTGGAATCATCATGTTTTTGTAGCTATAGACTCATGTCAGCTATAAGTGGATAATCTGATGTGCTCCATTGCTGTCCCTTGTATTTCCTTTTCTTGCTTCATTATGCTAAGTTGCTTATTGCTAACATATCTAGTACTCTATTTGATAAGATCACTGAGCATGGACACACTTACCTTATTCCTTATCTTAGAGGAAGTGCTTTCATTTTTTCCACATCCTGTTTAGTGTTGGCTATGCGTTTACTATATATCCTGTTTTATATTGAGGTACAATTCTTTTATACCTAATTGTTTAGGATTTTTATCCTGAAACCATGTTAAATTTTAGCAAATATTTTTTGTGCTCTGCTTAATTTTTTGTGGTCCTTGAGATCGAATTCAGGGTCTTATACATATTTTTGCATCTGTTGAGATGATCACATCATTTTGCCTAACATATTATTAATATGTATATTGTATATTTTGATCTGGATTTGTTGAACTGTATTTGTATTCCTTAATGAAACCATTTCAATTACAGTGTAAGAGCTTTTTAATTTTTTTGATTTTTGCATGCATTTGTAGTATGAAGGAGTTTTGTGATCTTTCCACACATATACACTGTGCATGGAACAAAACTGAACAAATTAACCCCCTTTCCTGTATTCCCATTATTTTCATGCCAGTCAGTTCTATTTACTAGTAATGTGTTGAATGTTTACACTCAAGTTCATCAGGAGTAGTGACTCATAATTTCTTCATATTTCCATTCTATTGTGACCAGAAAAGTTACAAGGTATGATTCCAGTAATTTTGAACTTGTTGACTTATTTTGTGGACTAATATATGTTGCATTCTAGAGAAAATTGCATGCACTGATGTAAATATGCTATGTTCTTTTGCATTTGAATAGATGCCTATGTGCACATAATCTATAGTATAGCTTAAATCTGATAATTTATTCTTATGTTTTTGAAGGTCTGGGTTATCTATTAATGTGGATGCAATATTGGAATCCCAAACTTTAATTGTACCAAAGCCTACCTCTTCCTTTATTTCTAATAGCTTGTTTTGTAAAAGTGAGTAATCTGATTAGATTTATAATCATGTATTTTTGATGAATTAATGCTTTCCTCATTATGTAGTGACCATTCTGTTCTTATAGTTTGTCTTTGTTAGATAATACATGCAGTTAGTCCTTCTTGCCTTAGGATTCCATTGTTTTGAGTATTGTTTTCCAACCTTTCACTGTGTGACCTCACTGGTCAGATAACATATTCTTGAAGGCAACATTTTTCTGTGTGTATTTTGTTTTTGTCAGTAGTGGGGCTTGAACTTTGAACCTCAGCGCTGTCCTTCAGCCCTTTAGCTCACAGCTAGCACTCTACCACTTGAGCCACAGTGCCACTTCCAGTTTTTTGGTGGTTAACTGGAGATAAGAGTCTCAGATATAAGCAAGATGCAGGGCACCAGAATAAAATACAGTAAAAACAGGGATTATACCATTGGTGGAAGAACATACAAAACAAACAAAAAAAATCACATGGTACATTATAAATACATTAAAAACAACAGCAATAAAGATAAAACCTCTTGTGTCCCTATCTTGGGATACATTTCACTTAGCATCAGCTTCTATGGTCATATGTACATAGCTTTTGACCTTTTCTGCTTGTCCTAGACATATACTAGTTATTGCAAATCAGGGAAACATTATATACTTTCCTAATTTGGAGAGGGGAAGGGAAATAACAAAAAGCTGAAATTAGGATACAGGTTGACCCATTGTAACAATGAGATGTACAAGACACTATGTTGAAAAGGACTTTACAACTTCAAGGTGGGGAGGGAGTAGTTGGGGAGGTGGGGAGGGAAGGGATGGAGGAGGTAACAATGCTCAATAGGAAATATACTCATTAACTTACTCATGTAACTATAACCCCTCTGTACAGTATATTTACAATAAAAATATATATACTAAAAAAAAGCCTCATGGACTTTCCTGTCAGGGCTGGCTTTGAACCACAATCCTCAGATCTCAGCCTCCTGAATAACTAGAATTACAGCCATGAGCCACTGGCACCCAGGGACAATGTATTTTTGTGTCCTATTTTTAATTCATTGAACCAGTTTGTTTATATACATATAGTTTAAGTCTATTATATTAAGTTTATTATATTGGTAACATTTGAACTTCATTGTTCGCCTCTTTAGATATATGGATCCTGGATCATCTAATAATGTCTCAACAATCATAAGTAAAGCCTTCCTTCCTTTTTTTCTTTTTTTTCTATATCAGTGTGATATTTCAAAAGTGTGATATGTCTCAAGCTCTATTAGACATTCCTCTATATAGTCTAGTTTATTGTTGAGGCTTTCAACTGAGTTTTTTTTTATTGTGAAAATACTGTACAGAGGAGTTACAATTACATGGGCAAGATAATGAGTACATTTCTTATCAAGCATTGTAGCCTCCTCCTTTGTTTCCCCTTCCCATCCCTTCCCATCCTCCCCCCCACCCCCCACGAAAGTTGTAAAGTTCGTTTTCGACATAACGACTTGTACATCTCATTGTTGCAATTGGTCCACCTGTATCCCTATTTAAAGGATTTGTTTTTCCCCTTCCCCTCCACAAATTATAACGACATCAAATACAGTGAAAGCAGGGGTTATACTGTGGGGGAGGGACATACAAGCAACAAAGAAATAATCTTATAAATGTGTTAGAAACAATCGCATGAAAGAAAAAAAAAACATTTGAATACACATCGTAGGGTTCATTTCCCTAACATCACCTTATCTGACCTTTTCTGCTTGACTCAGATATATACTAGATATTGCAAATAAGGGAAAGCATGGGACCTATGTTTCTTTGGGCCTGGCTTACTTCACTTAATATAATTTTTTCCTGAGTTTCTGAGATCTGATTATTTCTTTTTGTAAATTTGTCTATCTCTGATAACTTTCTCACTCATATCCAGCATTACCTTCTGAATTCTACTATTTATCTTATTTTAAAAATAATTTATTTGAGTTGGTGGCGGTAGCACACACCACCTATTCAGGAGGCTGAGATCTGAGGATCACAGTTTGAAGCCAGCTCAGGCAGGAGACTCTTATCTCCAATTAACCACCAAAAAGCTAGAAGTGGAACTGTGGTTTGATTGGTAGAGTGCTAGCCTTGAGAAAAACAGCTCAGAGACAGTGCTTAGGCCCTGACTTGAAGCCCCAAGACCAGCACAAACATAAAATTAATTTATTTGAATTCTTTATCAGGCTTTTTGTCCACTTCAGTGTCTTTAGAACCTTTTACTGAAGAGTTATGATCTTTAGGAAGTACTATATTAATGGTTTCCTCATATTTCTTGTGCTCCTATGTCGAGATTTGATCATCTGGAATCTATATTTCTTATGTGATGGCCTGTTTAGTAAGTGGGTTTCTCCTGAAGATGTGTCTTGGAATATTGGTTTGTTTTCCATGTTGAGTATGTTTCACTGTATAATCCCCTTGTGGGTTCTTTGCCTGTGATAAATGAGATCTGGACACAGCATACTGTGCTGTTGTTGAAGTGACCCAGTGTTGTTGTGGACACGGTGTTTCACAGTGGTGTGAGGTAGACTGCAGAGCATGTGGAGTACACCTTGAGTAACTACTACACATACAGTGGGAGTGGTGGCTTCTGCGGGGTCATGAGGACTTCTTCCAGCACTGTTGAGACCAGCCTTTCACCAGTCATGGTTCCCTCACTGGCTACCGCAGGAGAGGTCAGGAGAGGCCTGGGCACTTGTCCTGTGAGCAGACGGTGGCGTGGGCCAGGTGCTGCCCAGCAGGAGTAGGGTAGGAATCAGCACCCGCAGTGTAGTGCTCCCTCCTAGTCTTCTCAGCAGCATGTGCTCGGACATCATTGGGCTGGAGGAGGGAGGCCGTTGAGAGAAGCAAGTGTGAGAACAAGGCCGGTTCTGGGTGACGTTTCTCTCTGGACCTTCTTAGGCATTTATGATGCTGACTGAAGAAAATATGGAAAGTCTCAATTACCCACGGCCTTGTTGGCAGTCATGAGCATATAGTACTGAAATTGCAACTGTCTTTTTTTTATTTTTTCTTTGTGATTTGATAATATTTCATAAGTAAGAGGCATTATTTTCATTCACAAGTTAAGAACAGCGCTTTGACAACTGATTTTAGAAGAAAGTACTTAAAATTCTTTGATAAACCTCTTGGACCATGGAAATTTCTGCTTTGTTTTCTGGCAGTTCTTTTCAATGTATTCTGTACCTTGAATACTTACATAGTTTTAACTGTCATGTTGTTAAATTATACCCACATCATGATTTCCAAAAGCCTGTGCTCTTCTTTTTGCTGTCTTTGACGCCCAATTTAAATGGCTACAGATGTGTTTCAGACAAATGCCTAAAAATGTATTTCTAGTATGAAAAACTGGTGTCTTATTAGATGGTTGGTAAACATATTTACTGGCTGGCTTTAAGTTCATGACCACAAAGTTCAGCCTGTATTGTAATTCTTGTGCACCATCATCCAAAATATCTTTCTAGCACTGTTTAATATATTTTATATTGGCTTAACTTTTTTCTGTCTTTTGTACATATAGGAACTTTCAAAAAGCCTTGAGCTGAGTACGAACAGTTTTCAACGTCAGCTGCTTGCTGAGAGGAAAAGAGCGTATGCGGCTCACGATGAAAACAAAGTTCTACAAAAGGAGCTGCAAAGGCTGCACCACAAAGTGAAGGTAAACCTTTGATGAATTGCATAGCTTTCCCACCATGTAAGTTAAACAGAAATCCAGTATTCTAAAACGCTATTCACATTTGAAAAGTTTATATAATTTTCAGAATTCTAATGTTATCTTTGGTACTTAGAAGAAAAGATTTGTTAATATAATCACTATTACAAAGTAAAGTATTATGCAGCAATAAGACAAATGTAAGGGGAAATTCTGCAGGAAATTATAGGAACTATCTGGGGGCAGTGGCTCACACCTATAATCCTAGCTGCTTAGGAGGCTAAGATCTGAGGACTATGGTTCAAAGCCAGCTTCTGTGGGAAAGTCCATAAAATTTTCATCTTATTCTTATTTTTTATATCTATCTTAGTCTTATTTCCAGCAAATAGCTAGAAGCAGAAGTGTGGCTGAAATGATAGTGCACTAGGGTTGAGCAAAAGAGTTCAGAGACACACTCAGGCCCAAGCACTAGCAAACAAATAAACAGAAAAAAAACTCAAAGGAACTGGAGTTTATATTGGATGAATGAATAATCTGATATTCTTCCTCAGATGTGATTATTTTTAAAGTTGTTTTAAGAATGTCCTTCATTTTCATTGTTGCTAGAGAAAGTATTCATATCAGCTAATTATGTTAAGGCAGGTATTCTTAATTTTATCTAGAGGTCATTGATGGTTGAAATTTCATACAGAATTAATACAAAGTTATACACTACTTTATGTCGTTTTCTTTTTGGCAGAATGGGATTTTGAACTCAGGGTCATGTGCTTTCTAGACAAGCACATTTTTCTCTGTTTTGCAGGTCTTGGGGCTGTCCCTGAGACTCGGTGCTCAAGGCTAGGACTCTGCTTTTTCTGAGTAGTTTATTGGAAATAAAAGTCTCATGGGGACTTTTTCTGCCTCGGCTGGCTTCAAAACTGTGATCCTCATATCTCAGCCTCCTGAATAACTAGGATTACGGGCCTGAGCCACTGGTATCTGGCTAGGCAAACACTTTAATACTTGAATCACACCTCAGCTTCTTGTTTTAAACATTTTAGACAGGGGCTGGGAAAGTGGCTCAGTGGGAGAGAGCTTGCCTTGCATGCATGAGGCCCTGGGTTCGATTACCCAGCACCACATAAGCAAAAAGAAAAAAAGCCAGAAGTGGTGCTGTGGCTCAAGTGGTAGAGCGCTAGCCTTGAGCTGAATTGCTGAAGGACAGCGCCCAGGCCCAGAGTTCAGGCCCCACGACCAGACCCCCCAAAAAAAATTTAAAGAAAAAAAACTTTTTAGACAGAGTCTCACACTTTTGCTTTTAGTCATTTTCTTCAGCCTCCCAACTAGTTGCGATTATAGACATGAAATAGGGTCTAGCCAACTATGATGCCCCACAAACTATAATCCTCTACCTCCTCAATAGCTGGGATTACAGATATATGCCACTATACCTGGCCAATGTCTTCCATAGATTTCTTTCTGTTAATCCAATTCTCAGAAAAAGCCATAGCCAGGACTGGGAAGGTGGCTCAGTGGTAGAGTGCTTGCCTTGAATGCAGGAGCCCCTGGGTTCAATTCCTCACCACCACATAAGCAAAATGAAAAAAAACCAGAAGTGGTGTTGTGGCTCAAGTGGTAGAGCGCTAGCCTTGAGCTGAAGAGCTGAGGGACAGCGCCCAAGCCCAGAGTTCAGGCCCCATGACCAGACCCAAAAAAAAAAAAAAAAGAAAAGAAAAGAAAAAGCCATAACCCCCAAATGCTAAAGTACACCAATGTTTGATGGCATGGCCATTTTTCTTGGGGGTGAGGTGTATGTAGAACTATGGTTTGGCCTGAGACTTGTTAAGCATACTTGTTTAAGTAAGTGATCTATCACTTTTTGCTTAAGGTATTTTTCCAGTAAGGGTCTCAGTTTTGTGCCTGAAGCCAGCCTCACACTACCGTCCAGCTATGCCTTCTCTTGTAACTGGCTGGAATCAGACGTGACTTACCTCACGCAGCCTCTCATTTTTAAATCCTCAATCACTGAGAACTCTCATTAAGACTAACTCATTCTTTGTCTCTAAGCCTGGGTGATGGTGACAGAGTTCCTAGCTTTATCAGATAGGAGTGGGGAAAACTAAAATCTATTTTATTCTTATTTGCTCTCTCTCCTCTAAACACCCCTTCTTCCCCCCTCGCCAAAATGGCAGGACTTGTAGCTTTTCTTTAGTGGGAAGTCATCGCTCTCTCCTAACCCAAGGGTACTGGAGATATTTCTTTCTGTGGTTTGGTAGTTACATAGGGAAGTTGAACTCAGTATATTTCCATTTGGCAAGGAAGTTGTCAGTCAGTTGACTAAGTGAAGGTGATTTATTTTAAGCCAACATTTTACTTGCTTTCATTGTATTGGATTTATTTTTAGGAAAAGGAGACAGAATTGGATATAAAAAATATATATTCTAATCGTCCACCCAAGTCCTCTCCAAAGAAAGAAAAAGAACTTGTTCCAAGAAAGAATGGTATGGTAGCTACTATTATTAAAACACCAATATTATAACTATAGTATAGTTTTTGTTATAATATAACTGTTATAGCTATTATTTATTAATATTTCGAAGTAGAATGCAGAATCTCATAGAAATATATAAATTACTTTTTTTAATTTCAGTTTTCATAATTTTTAGATGTTTTCTAATTTTTGTAAGTTTTAACACATGAGGAAAGGTTACTAGAACCATGTTTTATAAAACTTAAAAAATTTGCTTGCTATGACTTTGAAAACCCCTATGAAAATATATAAACATACTCAGTAGAGTGAAGGATGTAATGAACTTCCATTTATACATTACCTAGATTTAATAGATACTCTTTTTGCCAATTTTATCTATTTTTCTTTGTTTTGGTAGTATGTTTTTGAGGAAATCGAGTGTATTATTTTATTCATCAATATTTTATATTATGCAGATAGTCTTGCTCTATTTTTAGCACAGTACAATCCTTCTAGGAATTGCACAATTTTTAAACATAAACTTTGTAAAAGTTTAGGGCCATTTACAGGAAGAATTGCTCCCAAATCATATACCTGTTAGTAAATCCCAGACACAAAATGAGTGTTTACTAAGCTGAGTCAAATGTCTGTCATCTCATTTAGATGATAAGTATATGCCAGTTGAATAAATGTTAGAAGTGTTGAATGAGATTAGAAAACTTCTTTTTCAATTTTCACGGTAGCCGCATGCCAGAGTGATTTTACAGACCTGTGTACAAAGGGAGTACAAACCAGTGAAGATTTTGGACAGGAAGAATTTTCCATTATAACACAGACAATTATGAGCAAAGAGGAGGAATCAGAACATCTTTCTTTGGTGAGTGCAGCAGTATGACTTCTACCCAACTCTAGGTTTAAAGTTATTCCTAAAAATGGTCTCAGACTTGGTATAGTTTCAGCAGTGGAGGTAGTGCTTTATCTTTGTGAATATGCAGATATCCTGTGTATTTTATTAAATTCTTTGGGATTTACTCTTTTGGTTCGTGTTGCATTTTTTCAGATGCTTCAGAGACTGGTTATGCTTTCTACTAGGCTGGAGGTAAAAGACAGGAATTGCTTAAAAGGTTACCTTTTATTCAGCTAGACAAATCTTAGATATTGCTCAAAGTTTTATGTTTAATAGGAAACTCTGATCATTTTCAAATCATTTTTTAAGAATTTGCCCAGATTTAGATTTTTGGCCTTCTACATAGGAAAAATTTTATTGGTTAAATAAATGCTAAATTTTGTAGATTAAATGAATGCTAATCTGAATTTGTACCATTTCAAATAGAGTAAAACTCAGAGGGTTGTGTATTGTACATTTATTGAAAAGAGTTTCAATACCATGTCACTGTAAGCTCATGTTATCTAAAGAGGGTTTTATCTTTAATATTTACAGTTTAAATTTCCAAAGAAAACATTTCAAGGGCCTAATGCATCTCATATATATATATGTGTATATATATATATATATACACATATATTTATGTGTATATATATATATTTATGTGTCAGTCCTGGGGCTTTGAACTCAGGGCCTTGATTCTGTTCCTGATCATTTTTGTTCAAGGGTAGTACTCTGCTACTTGAGCAATGGCTCTATGTCTAACTCTATTTTTGGTAATTAATTGGAGAAGAGTTGTGCAGGCTTTCCTGTCTGGGCTGGCTTTGAACCATAATCCTCAGATCTGAGCCTACTGAGTATTAGGATTATAGGCATGAACCACTGGGCATCCAGCTTAATATTTTTATACCTTACAAGTGTCTCAGTGACCATCCCATGGTATAAAAAGAAACAATTTGGTTCTTTTTTATTATTTAATTTGTTTTATAATTTAGATATATTAGTTCTATCTTCTGTGTTTCTGCCTGTACTGTTATTAAAACTTAATCATCAGGTGGGTACAGAGGCTCATGCCTATTAGGAGGCTGAAATCTGAGGATCATGGTTCAAAGTCAGCCTGACGGACAAATCCGTGAGACTCTTATCTACAATTAACCAGCAAAAACCCAGAATTAGATGTGTGGTTCAAGTTGTATTGTACCAGACTTGAGCAGAAAAAGCTAAGTGACAGCATCTGAGCCCTGAGTTCAAGCCCCAGTACCAGCGCACATACACACACACACACACACACACACACACACACACACACAGTGTAAAACAAACCAATCATGCTGATTTGTGTCTTTGAAAGGATATCATGTAGAATAACAGAGAGTAATTCTTAACTCTAAAAGGCTAAAAATATGTGGTTTTTGTACTAGAAGATTCAGAGCCAGCACCCTGCTGGAAAGAGTGTGGTCTTAGAGTTGGCTCTGCTTTTTCATTGAATCCAGGTGCCAACATTTCAGTGGTATGAATTTTTGGGGCCTCAGTTTCCTCATGTGTAAAGGGTGGTAAGTAACCTTGATGTTTCTAAAGCTCCTCCGAAACCTGCATGAATAAGTCCTCAGCCAGTGGCAGCCCAGAGTCCAGTTCATGCTGCAATTAGAAAGACACCAGTATGGGGCTGAGATAAGAGAAGGCGCTTCTTCTTGTAGTGGATAAAATCAGTGTGCAGTCCAGGGCTGGCGAGCTGCTGTGCTGATCTTCCATTTGGGACTGTAGCCCTCATGTTTGTGGTTGGAGTGGCCTCATCTCCCAGTGAACAAAGGGAATGAGGAAGCAGCGGGCAAGCTGTGCTTACAAATGTGATCTGGAGTTGCACCTGCACTTCCACCCGCCTCACCCTGGTCCTGTCTAGCTGCAGGGGTGGCTGACAGTGTCTCCATCTGAGAAGCTCTGTGCCCTGCTTAACACACAGGGGATTGTTTCTAAAAGGAAGAAAATGAAAACGGATACCAGGGGACAATTACATATTAACAATCCATGCTTTATTTTTATTAAGGAAAATCACACACAGAGATATTTGCAAGGAGCCATAATAAGGGTAAAATTGCTATTCCTTCTGGAATTTTAAGTATGTAGCATTCTTATTGATTTAAATAGTATAGAACCTCATTAGGAGACTTTGGACATAATGTAGACTTGAACAGCTCAGTTCAGCTGTCACCAGCTGTGTTACATGTTTCTTCAGCTTCTCTTCAGCCATTTCTAGTTAACTTGATTAATAACCAGATTTGAGTTATTTTGCCTAAAGAAACAGCTCTTCTGCAACTTATCTTCAGAATTTTGTGTAGGTTGTTGGTTTTATTCCACTATTGTGGCTCTGATGTAGTTCATAAATGCTTAAATTTTTAGCTAGAAGCGCGATTCGCAGCAGAAGAACATGTGATTTGTGCTTTATTCACTGAAAATTGGCTTTAATTTCTAATTTGATATTTCCTCTTCCCCTATGTGTGGATTTGCATTTAAAAATTCACCATAGAATCTGGAGTCCCCAGAGCAAGAGGAACACAATGAACCCACCGTTCTACCTTCACCGGTAGAGGAAGAAGAGTCCGGTGAAGATCAAGGAGAGCCCATCGTAGAGCAGGAGGAGGAGAAGCTGGAGAGTGGTACGTAATAGAGTTGGTTTACACGGGGTGTGAGTCCCTGGATAAAGGAAGGGTCAGGGCCCCTTGATGTCTTCCCACTAAACTGTAAATTGTTTGTGCAGAACAAAAAAAGGCAAGTGCAGTTGTAGGAAGCAGTGTATCAAGAGTCACAAACATTTAAACAAAGTTTTTAAGGAAAGAAGAAAAATGACAAGTTCAGGTGGATAAATTCCACAAAGACACAACTTAGATAAAAAGGAAAAACATGCTTTGGTTTTAAGTAAAACTTGAAGAAATAATTGGAGGACGGCTGCCGTTTGGAGCTTGGCCTTGAAGCTGTAGTCCACAGACTAGCTTAAGCTGAAACATCAGAGAGTTATGTTGTCCTGTATACATTCCTATCATTGTTCTTTGGTTTTACTTTATAAACTAAGTCTTTAATATGCTCAGAGTTAATGTAAATTCAGTGAGCCAATTCACAGAGTTTGTAGATAATGGAAATGAAGTTCAGGACTAAGCTCATTTCTGTCTGGATAAAATGCCTGATAGGCATGAGCAAAGGATCCCAGACTCTACGCTGTATTAGTTACCCAGGGAGTAGAGTAGGACTGTTAGTTATCATGTGTATAATTAATGTATATAATATGAAGATATAATGTATGTGGTATAGAACTATGCTACATCCAGCTCAAAGAAAAATCTTTTGTTGTTATTTGTTTCTTTTTGTGGGTCATGGGGCTTGAACTCTGGGCCTGGGCGTAGTCCCTGAGCTCTTCAGCTCAATGCAAGCACTCTACTACTTGAACCACAATACCACTTCCGGTTTTCTCGTGGTTTATTGAAGATAAGGGCTAGGAAGATGGCTCAGTGGTAGAGCGTTTGCCTTGCATGCATGAGGCCCTGGGTTCGATTCCTCAGCACCACATAAGCAGAAAAAAAAAATAAGCCAGAAGTGGTGCTAATCCTCAAGTGATAGCATGCTAGCCTTGAGCTGAAGAGCTGAGGGACAGCACCCAGGCCCAGAGTTCAGGCCCCACGGCCAGACCCCCCCCCCCAAAAAAAAAGAGTCTCATGGACTTTTTTTCCTGCCCAGTCTGGCTTTGAACTGCCATCCTCAGATCTCAGCCTCCAGGGTAGCTAAGATTACAGGTGTGAGCTACCAGCGCCCAGCTTATTATGGTTTTGAGCTGAAGTTCATGGAACATAAAATTATGACCCATTGTTTTATAGATGTATATATGTGTATGTGTGAGGGGTAGTGTATATTTAAACATAGTATAACTTAAATAGAAGCTATGTATTTACATTATCACACTTGGCTAATGTGTGAAGCAGGATGGTTTCATGTGTTACACTACTACAAAAAAGATGTTCAATTCCCTCTAGGCAACAGGAAAAGGAATAAAATAGCAGAAGACCATCTTATCTTTGTGCTTAGTGACTTTTTGTGGTTTGTGTGTGTGTGTGTGTGTGTGTGTGTGTGTGTGTGTGTGTGTGTGCATGCGTGCCAGGTGTGTGCCAGTCCTGGTGCTTAACCTCAGGGCTTCTTTGCTCAACATGATCCTCAGATCTCAGCCTCCTGAGTAGCTAGGATCACAGGCATGAACCACTAATGCCTGGCCCAACCTTTTTGTTTTTGTTTTTGTTTTTGGAGACTGTCTAGAATGATCTGACATCAGTGAGAATGTTTGCAAGTTGCTGACATTAGGAGATTTACATATTCGATTTTTTAATTTTTTTGAAAATAACTTCAAAATTATAGAAAAGTGGCAAGAATAGAACACAACTATTTAAAATTAAATTATACTTGTGCCCATGTCCTTAAATACTTCCATGTGTTGTTCTCCCAAACATAGCCATTCTCTTACCATCATTCCAGTATAATTTTCAAATTCAGGAAGTTTAACTTTGATACACTGCATTTAGCTATTATCCATATTGTAGACACAATACTGCTATTTGTAGCATTTTCTCCCCCCTAGAAAATATCATAAATCATGTTTCATTTTTATATCTCTCCAGGCTTGTAGTCTAGGAGCAGTTTCTTGGTTTTTATTTTTATTTTGTGAGATTAACATTTTTGATGGTTTCAGATGCATGTTTAAAAATAGAATGTTCTGCATTTAGAGTTTGAAGTTTTCTGTTAGATTTTAGTTACTGTATCTGCTGTCAGAATATTACATAAAGAATGTCATGTCTTTCTCAGGATATAGCATCTAGAGAGTTAAGTATAAAAGTCTTTAGCCATCCATCCATTCATGCAACCATCCATCCCTCACACAACCCATCAGAATATGTACCAGTGTTATATTTATTGTTAAAAAAAAAAAAAACAGAGAACTGAGAAGGTGGCTCAGTGGTAGAGTGCTTGCCTTACAAGCATGAAGCCCTGGGTTCGATTCTTCAGCACCACATAAGCAGAAAAAGCTAGCAGTGGCGCTATGGCTCAAGTGGTAGAGCATTAGCCTTAAGCTGAAGAGCTGAGAGATAGCACCCAGGCCCAGAGTTCAGGCTCTATGACCACCAACAACAAAAAAACAGCACAGATGTGGGGCTGTGGCTCAAGTGGTAGAGTGCTAGAAAGTGGATCAGGGACAGTACCCAGACCCTGAGTTCAAGTACCACAAGGAACAAAAAAAATAAGAGACCTGGGGAGGCTGAGAAGAAGGTGGCTCAGTGGTAGAGCGCTTGCTTTGCATGCATGAAGCCCTGGGTTCGATTCCTCAGCACCACATAAGCAGAAGAAGCCGGAAGTGGTGCTATGGTTCAAGTGGTAGAGAGCTAGCCTTGAGCTGAAGAGCTGAGGGACAATGCCTAGGCCCAGAGTTTAGGCCCCATGACCAGTAAAAATAAATAAGTAAATAAAAATAAGAGACTCTATCTACCATAGAAGAATAAGTTTTTCTCTGTAAAAGTGAATCTTAAATGCAAGATGTATTAAATATTACTCCCTAATCCCAGAGTATGAGGTACAAAAATGAAATATTAAGTGTACATCCTCACTGTACTTATAATACCCAAGTTACATTTCAAAATATTACTTTGTGAAAGATAGGAATTGAGTTTTCCTTTTTAGCAATAGTTCTATAAAAATCCCAACTTTGAAATTTTATTTCATATAGAATGGGAGAGAGAAGAGGTTGACAAAGAGCAAGATGAAAAGATGCCTTTACTAGAAACAGAAGAAAAGCCAGAGTTGGAAACTGGACAGTGCCAAATGGAAATATATCAGCTTCAACAGGTTGACAAATTGGAAGAAGAGGAAGAAGTCAAGAGGGAAATGCTCCTTGCTAAGATGGACCAAATCAACAAAGAACTCCAAGATTCTCAGACCCCCCGGAGACATCGTTCTGCACCCTTGTTCCCTGAGTTGGAAACAAAACTGCGCGCCCTGGTGAGAAGCACTAAAGCAAACATGTCCCCTGAACCCTCTGAGAGATCGTTCAATGGGCATCATTTGCAGGACATCGGTTTTGCAACACCAAAAGGAGATGCTCTGAATCCAGGAAACATTAGAAGTCCAGCATCTCCAAATGACTTTTCATTTGGGAGTTACGTGCCTTCATTTGTAAAAATGTCAGGGAAGTCCAATCTGTGTAGCCAAAAAAGTAGCCTTGTAGGTTTGCCAAAAGACAGTCTGGATAACTCCAGTAAAGGCAGTGTGGACTTAATGGCAAGAAAGGAGAGAAAAGCTCACTTGATAGAGCAACTATTTGGCACCCCGTGTAACCAAAAAAGTAGCCTTGTAGGTTTCCCAAAAGACAACACAGATAACTCCAGTAAAGATGGTGTGGACTTAATCACAAGAAAGAAGAGAAAAACTAACTTGATGGAGCAACTATTTGGCACCCCACGTAGCCAAAAAAGTAGCCTTGTAGATTTGCCAAAAACCAATATAGATAACTCCAGTAAAGGCAGTGTGGACTTAATCACAGGAAAGGAGAGAAAAACTAACCTGATGGAGCAACTATTTGGCACTACTCCCAGCAGCTCCATTTCCGCAAGGGGCAGCGACCCAGGCTCTCTGCCTACCAGCAGAGGGGACTGTGACCCTCTGAATTTTTGCCCAGGGGAGAAAAACAGCAGGGTTAGAGAACAGGATGAAGATGAAGACTTCCTCCTTGGTGAAGGAAGAAATTTTAATCCAAATAGACACCGATTGAAACATGCAAATAATAAGCCAACGCTGAAAGCATTTGATTATGTAGAAGATGAAATTGAAGAAGTAACACTGAGATGACGAATTATATATTTGTTTCAATTGTAAATATTAAAGTATTTTAATACAGTATTATAAACCTCTAGACTTTTACTATTAAAACTTTCTTATTGTGGAATGGTTTTTGTAGCTAAGTTACAGTACAATTAAAAAGTAGATCATATTGACCCACATCGCTAGTTTGAGAGAATACCAGGGGCTCTTTTGAATGAAACCAAAAATAGAGATGTCTCTAACATGGTTTTGCATTTGCGAATTTACCTCTTACACCAGCTCTATGGGCAGTTTAACTTCCCTGAAAGTCACTTTCATTTTCTACTTTTACCCCTATTGATTATTGTTCAGATTTTCACTGAGCTAACTGTTCTTTTCTCATTGACTGTCGAGTGGAATTGAATGGAGCAAATCTGTGGTGGGGAGTCTGGACCCTTACTTTATGGACTGGGACGCAGTCCCTGTCCTGGGAGGCAAGGCTGAGCTGCTCAGGAATGACAGCGGTGACTCATTCCTCTGCGAGTACCCACAGTTCACACCACTCACTCTCAATCTCATCTCTGAAGCTGCTCACCTGCAGCACTGCGAGCACCTCAGGCTGGTCTCAGATGCCTTTTTGTTTGTGTGGATTGTCCCCTTGCTGCGACTCCTGGTGTGATTCCTGTCCTTACTCTAATACATTTTTAGTATCTCAGTGGTTGAGTGTTAAGGCTTCATACCAGATGACAAGCCATCAAAGAAATTGCATCTCAGTAGAGAAAGATTTTTCAACCCTATTATGTTTCCAAGGTAGCAGCATACTTTGGAAATTTTAACACGTTCTTTTAAGATTTGAACTTGTCCCCATACCAAAGAGACTTTCAGGACCAGGGTTCAAGTAGCCTTTGATCGAAGTGTATGAGACTTGGGGATTCTGCCCTACTGGGTAAGGCAGATAATTTTCTGTTGAAATGCACTGGTTTCCTTTCAGCTATTTGTAGTTCACTTCAGCTGCAAAGGAATGTGTGGGATATGGCTGGTCTTGAAGAAGCAATAATGTGCCACCAGCCAATGAGTAAGCACTGTTGAATGAAGAGTGTCAGCACTTGTCCAGAAGAAGGAGAGCCTAGAGGTTGGAACTTTAGAATACTAAGAGGAGCTGTTTGGACTGGCTGTTTTTGCTCATGGTTGGATTTCTGATGCCAATCATATATCCTGATGAGGGGCAAGAGTTGGTATTTTATCTGCATTTCTTTAAATGCTTATTAATTAATCTTATGGCTAGTTGATAAGGCGTACCCAATCAAACCTCCAATTAAAACATATTGCTTGACATCTATTAAATGGTGTTCTTGTCATTTATTAGGAACAGAATCTGGAAGATAGGCCATATTGGGTCTAGAGATAAGCACATCCTGCAGTGAGCCAGACGCCAGCAAGTATCAGGTGTGCAGGTGTGCAGGTGTGCAGGTGTCAGGCATGCAGGTGTGCAGGTGTCAGGCATGCAGGTGTGCAGGCGTGCAGGTGTCAGGGGTACAGGCATGCAGGTGTTAGGGGTGCAGGTGTGTAGGTGTCAGGTAAGCATGTGTGCAGGCGTGCAAGTGTCAGATGTGCAGGCGTGCAGGTGTCAGGTGTGATGTGTGCAGGTGTCAGGTGTGCAGGTGTGCAGGTGCCAGGTGTGCAGGTGTCAGGTAAGCGTGTGCAGGTGTCAGGCATGCAGGTGTCAGGTGTGATGTGTGCAGGTGTCAGGTGTGCAGGTGTGTAGGTGTCAGGTGTGCAGGTGTGCAGGTGTCAGGAGTGCAGGCCTACAGGTATGATCTGAGGAGGGAGCTGTGGGCCCAGCACTTCTGGTCACATCCATTCTCACTGTGGGAACTTCTCCTTCCGTTTCAACAGCTTCCCCATTCCATAAACAAATGCACCCGCTCTCCTTCCCACACACTGGCTTTGAGGCTCCCTGAAGACCAGGGAGGTTTCCAGGTGTTGGGCAGCTGCCCTGTGGTGGGCGGCTCCTGGGCCCTGTGACTCCACTCCTGGGGGTGGGGGTGGGGTGGGGAGTGCAGTCCTGTGGCTCAGCCCTCCAAGGCTCTTCATGGAATGTGGGCTTTCTGCTGTCACTTCACAACCAACTGCCCAGACCCAGAGGTAAAGGAGCTCCCTCGTTCACCTGGCTGCCTCTTTGAAATGAGGGAAGGATAATACAGAGGAAAACCCAAAACTGTTCATTATTATTATTCAGTCCCTCTCCAGAAGAAATGAAAGTAAAATGCCTTGGTGAATTATTCTTCCTTTTCATCAGGTACTGTCCAGAGCACAGTATGGATTTAGGAAACCCGCGAAACTCATCTGCTGTACAGCTCCCAGAAAATCCTCCGGTCCACCTTCCAGGTTTAAGAATTCAGTAGGCTTCACCCTGGGATGACAAAAAGATACAGAGACAGACAGACAGACAGACAGAAAGCATGTTGTGAATTAAAGGTCAAGGATTCAGAAATCTCCACAGAATAAAGAAATTTGTGATGACCCCTTAGAACTTCAATGGGTCTTTTGCAAAAGTGGAGAGCCATCCTGTTAGTCCTTAAACCCAATTAAATATCACCACTTCCTGTCCAGTCCTCTTCCTACCCCAAATATTCTAACTCATTTCACACCTGAGATTTGTTTTTCCTCCTGAGCTGCTGCTTTTAAGTCATTTTAAGAACTTGACATTAAAATATAATTACATGATGAAGAAATACTGTTAAAGCTTGCTCAGTAGGACTTTTTTTTAATAGTGAGGTTTCCAAAATTGCACACTTCAAAGGATGATTTTCTGAGCTGTATGTAACTGAATAGCATCTCCACAGGCCCATCAGTCACCTGACAAAATGACATGAACTCTTTCAGCCCCTCCCCTGGGTAGCTACCATTTAGGAATAAATGAATGGATTATGCCTCATACAACCATATTTTAAAACAGTATATATTAACAACCAAGGATGTTGGGTAGTCTTTGGTTTGTGAGATAGTATAGTCACGGTGACTAGAATACAGAAGATTCTCATTTTTATAGAAAAGAAAAGGCCAAATGGGGAATCTGCCTCTAGGATTGCTTTAAAAAATTCAGGCCACAGATCAATGCAGACCTTGATCAAGGTCCCAAGGCCTGGTTTCCATACAGCAGGAATTGGACTCCTGGTCCCCCATGCTTTCCTGCCACTGCCAGATGTGTCTGTCCAGTAGTTTTTCATTTCCTCTGTCCATTGCCTGCCGGCACACCACTGCCACCTCGTGGTTCCTGGTGGTCATTGCTGTTTATGCAGAAAGGCCAGAATGGAAAAAAGCCTAAGAATTAATTTCTCTTTAAAACTCGTTAAGAATCTATCACAGACTAGGAATGTGGCTGAGTGGTAGAGTGCTTGCCTGGCATGTATGAAGCTCTGGGCTCCGTTCCTCAATACCACATACGCAGAAAAAGCCAGAAGTAGCACTGTGGCTAAGTGATAGAGTGCTAGCCTAGAGCAAAAAAAAGAAAAGAAAACCTCTAGCCCCAGGACTGTCAGAAAAAAAAAGAAAAGAAAAAAGAGAGGGAGGGAGGGAGGAATGGAGGGAGGGAAGGAAGAAAGAAAAAGAAAAAAAAAGGAAAGAAAGAACGAAGAAGCAATCTACCATTCTGCTCAGAATTGCATTTGTGCTATTTTCTTTAATCATCACAGCACTATGAACTGGGCATTTTTGTCCATGAAGAGAGAAGGCTGAGAGAGGAATCCTAAGATTTTACACAGTTTTGTTCCAGGTGGCATGGCTGGAGCTTGTCCCTCCCTCCATCCGGCCCTATGTCTGTCTGTCCCTCTATCCGGCCCGATGTCCTGTCTTGCAGCTTTGGTCTCCTGATGCCTGTGCAACCCTTTCTGACCTGAGCTGTTCCCAGGTTGCAGCAGCAAACCCAAGGGCACCAGGAAGACACACCCACAGACTCTTGCAAGGCCAGGTAAGGGAGAGAGAGCAGGCACATTTCCACTATGAAACCAGCAGTCAGTACAGCTCATGCCTAGAAGCTGCTTGGGCTGCATTGTAGCTGTGAGTCATCACTGAGCAGGAAAACTAAGAGATGGAACAAAACTGGAGCTGCTGATAGGCCTGTTGGGGATGGAGGGATGGCATGCCAATGCCAACTGTGTTTGAAGCCAGCTCCTGAGTTTTGGTTTGTCCTGTGGACCAGCCCTGTCAGAGATAGGTTTTCTGTCTTGGGCTGAAAAGTCTGACTGGTCCCAAGGGCTGCCCTTCCTCTGAGCCTTCTCCTTCCCTGTCCACCAGCAACAAGTAAGTATTTGCACGGTGTTCCTGCTCCCAGGACACAGCTGGTTTCCTGCACCTACTCTTTTCTTCTTATAGTAAAAAACTTAGTAAGAGCCTTATTGGAAAATATGTTGTTAAACGTGTGCACATACGTTACAATGTGAAAACAACTCCAGCATCTTTTATTTCTTGTTTTAAGTACCAGCCTCTCAAGTGCAGTTGGGAAGCTGACCATGGAAAGCAATCATTCTTTCAGAGCCTTGGGGCTGGTGACAGCACCGCTATCTACCCTGAGTTCGCATGTTGTTATGGCTTGGAGGAAGACAGTGGGTTTTGCCAAGAGAGACACACACTTTCGGGACTGTCATACGTTCATTCAAGTCAAGGTGAAGACACACAAATACATTGGGAAAAGTAGCCCTTCAAATCATTTTTTTAATGATTAATGCAGCCAGGCACTGGTGTGTCTGAGACGCAGACTCCCGTGACCCCCGCCTGAGAATTCATGTGCTGTGTAAGGTTTATGTGTGCTGGTAAACAAGGAGAAAGCTCCTCCATAGTCCTGGCAGTGCTCGGGATACCCAGCTGCAGCCTCCAGGGAAGGAGAAAACTCCTTCCAAGTCTGGGCGCCGGTCAGGAAGTCCCGGCCACAACCTTGGAGGAAGGCACCAGATGTGCTCTTCATACCCCTTCATACACCTTCCAGTAGCACCATATACACAAAACACATCAGCCATCCCTCTAGACTTCCCCTAGGTAAACGTTTGTGCCTTGTATGTCTCTGGTAACCTTTTGGCCACATAAACCTATGGCCTTGGGAAACTGCCACGTGCTCACCATAAGATTTACTTTCTTTGTGTGTATGCCATATATAAGTCCTTAGTGTTCCTAATAAGCTTTGTCTCTACCTGCATGGTGTAGTCCACTCTGCCTA